AATCAATTTTTTGGTGGCTTTATTTAAAAATGAGGATTATAAAAAACTGTTAGATCTTACGATACCTGAAGTTAGTTGAACATAATAGGATTTTAGGTAACATTTTTCATCAGTAATCTTCCAAAAATTCAGTAGAATATTACTTTTATATCCTAAGGCTGTGGTGACAAAATAAAGAGCACATTGAAATGAAGATTAATTATAACCATCTATTTCGTTATTTATGAACAAATGTAATAATGAAGGTATTGACAATACAAGAAGTGCAATGTGTGTTTGTAAGTCAATAATTAGAAACTAGGAGACAATGAAGGATTAGGAACAAGCAAGACCTTTTTCAATGGCACTTTCTAAAACAAATCCTTTCTTTGTCTACTAATGGTCTCTTCTCTCTTTATCCTTTCTAGTTCTTTCATAAATTATTATGATTTAGTTCCGTTCTAACATTAATTCCTGAAGTATTTGCTGACAAAAATCTCTTACTATTGTATGTACCTATATTATGTATAATTATAATTATACATAATATAGGAAATAAAATGGTGGAGTGTAATATCGAGATCTGAGAACATCCAGGAGTGACTTGTCTGATCTACAAAATCTTTGGCTCAATTGGCTGAGAAAAGCGGCGGACCGATGGATTTGATTGAATTTAACGTTTCTTGAAAAGTAAATATTATTATTTTTTTTTGTTTGATAACGATTTTAATAAAAATTGCTAAGCTATATATCATTAAGCTAAACGTATCAATTTGTTATTTGAAATTATTTGTTATTCCAAGTTATTGAAAAGATCATAGGAGCAGACATTTTCATTTTGATTGGGTGGGAGACGATGGCAAAAATAAATAAATTGGCGAGAGTTTTATCATGCGTAAAAACTGTGTAAAATTATAAATAAATAAAATTAACATAATTATTGTGAAACGAACCAATAAAATACTAAATATGCAAGTATATATATTTTTTATATACGTTTGGATATACAATGGAATGTATTACATATTTGTGTAAATTAAATATGGGAAACGACAGCCTCCATTATACGTGCACATAGGTACATTTCTAGAACTTCCAAAGTTAAAAATGAATAACGTTAAAAACTGAAATAATATTTTTGATTTCTTAGTTAGCTAGTAGAAATAGGTGAGATTAACGAAGGTTTCGAAGGTGAGATGAACTCCCGCCAATACTGATAAACAAGGGGAAAGGGGTGAATGAATAATAAAATCCTATAATATGTCACTCTATATTATTATCTATGAATATAATATAATAAACTCACAACTACACTGAGTTAAGGTGGTTCTTTCCCTCCTTTCGAAGACAATATTTCCTAGGTACGTTCCTCTGTACCTCTCCCCGTCTCAGACACAGTTCGGTATCTTGGATTCCTTTTAGACAAAAGACTAACTTGGAACCCACATACCAGACTTTAAAGACAAGAACTTAACCGACGATTTGGCCAGCTATACAGACTACTTAACAGAAAATCCAATCTCTCAATAGAAAACAAACTATTAATATACAAGACCATACTCAAACCCATCTGGACCTACGGACTTGAATTGTGGAGGACAACTAAATTTTCGAACATCAAACGCATCCAATCCTTTCATTCTAAAGTCCTCCGTATAATAGTCAATTCTCCTTATTATGTTACAAACAAAACCCTACGTCATGACCTGATCAGCTCAATTTGTCGAGCATTCATTAATACCAAAATTTTAAAAGACTATTGATGACATCATTTTTTAAATATGTGAAACGATATATATTCTTGTTTAAATGTGCTAAGAGTTATAAAAATAAAAATATTGGAAAATAATTGGATTAATCCGTCAGTACATGAATAACTAGTTTTGAATTCATAATTATCCTTAAGTAAATAAATTGATATAAGTATAAGTAATGTTGCAGTGTAATGCAATTACAATTAATATACAGTGTGGTGAAGAACTTTTTTCGTGAAGAGGATGATTTTTGGGGTGATCAATCAAAATAAAACAGTAAAAATAAATAATTTTATTTATTTTTCTATTTAATTTGACCGATCACCTCAACTACCCTTCTCTTCAATTATTCACTACAGTCAAACATTTTTCGTTATACGATTTTTATTATTTTTTTCAAAACCTACTCGCACTCTCTGGCGTTATAGTTCTGTTCTACTTAAGAAGATTAAAACTCTGGCAATCCTAGAAATGTATATCCTGATTTTTTCTGTAAAAGTTCATTTTTTTTAAGCTCATTTTGGTGTATTAAAATGTAGAGTAGGATATTAAGTAATTAATGTTTCGTTTCTGTTCTAAGTAAAATACGTAGTTCAATATTTCCAACGTTCTTAGGATTTTGTAATTTATTTATTTACGGAAGTCGTAAAAATTAATCTATAAAAATTCTTTGAGTAGGAGTTGATCGAGGGATGCGGTCAAATAAATATTAAATTATAGAAATAGTATTATTTAATTTTCATGCCGACGTTTCGACCCACTTTGCAGGTCTTCATCAGGGTGTAGGATGTAGCAATGCGGGAGGCCGTTTAAACACTGGCCAAATTTTATAAAAATTTTAAGAAAATTATAAAAAAAAATATAAGAATTTTATAGAAATTCTTCATAATTTTCTTTACTTTCTTTTTAATTCGAAATTAATAATTTTTTAAGTAATTTTAAATAGCAATGCATAAGCAACATTAAAATGGAAACAAAATGATTTATTTATTTATATAAATTAATTAACATGGTATTAAGGACTTTTTTAAAAATTTTTTAAAGGAATATTTGAAAAATTGTATAAGATATTTGATTTTATTTTTATTGAGTATTTAATAGTTGACAGTTGCATTATAAAGGAAGGAGATGGTTCGGGGTGGCGGTCATAAATAGGCTAAATAGTGGTAAAACTATTTTATTGAAAGCCGACGTTTCGACCCGACTTTGCAGGTCTTCTTCAGGGCTAGAACGGAGGGTGTGTTCAGCTAGGAATTTCACTTAGTACCCTGCTAAGTCGATTCGAAACGTCGGCTTTCAATAAAATAGTTTTGCCACTATTTAGCCTATTTATGATCGCCACTCCGGACCATCTCCTTCCTTTATTTTATTTTTAGTTAATCTGAACTTTCTTTATCTTGATTAATTATAAATCTCCCTGTTATTTAATGCAGATATTTAATTTGTGATATAATATTTCATTAAATTTTATATATTGATTGACATTTATTTTTAGTGTAACGCAAATTATTTCAGATAAGAAGGGGTAAAATTTAAGAATTCAATCAAATAAAATATTATTTAGGTTATGATCCGATTCTGAACAGGAAAAAGAATTAATTAATTTTTATTATTATTTTTTTATGTTATTGGTTTTTTTTTTTACTAGACAGCGATAATATAAAAACTATTCAAGTTGGGAAATTATCAATTGCACCATCGTAAACAATTAATTTTAATCAGGAAGTAAACTAATATTTATTAATTTATTTAAAATACCTACATATTGAAAATTAGAAACGACAGTTGCATCTAGTTGTGTTACAATTAAAAATGAAGCTTAAAGAAGTCTTTTCTCTCAATTGCTACAAGATAGGCCTTCTCGTTTAAGTTCAGTCGTTAGAGCAAATTGAAACCGAATGCCAAATAGAGCACGAAAATGTAACTGTTAAAACTGTATCACCTCTTGCTCATAGTTAATTCGGATCAACCTAGTTTAGAAAATTTTAGGCCTCAAAAAGTAACTGCTCTATAAAGATAATAATAAGGGGGGTATAAAGATAACGTTCAAACATGTTTTTAAACGATTTTTATTTAAAATATCTCATAACAATTATTTAATATTTAGTTTTTATTTAGGACGAGACTTCAAGTTGATTAGTTGTTTGTTGATCGATTAAAAAGAATTTTTTAAAGTTTAAATACAACGTTTTCCTTATTTGTATAAGCTTCCTTAATGACCTATCAACGTCTTATATTTTAAGTAATCCTCACTCTACTTAATTATTGACCAAAAAGGTATATTGTAATATTTTCAATAACACATTTTATTTATTTTCTGTTAGCAAAAAATGAATTTAGGAAAAATTAAACTGAAATTAATTAATCATCACTCTACCTAATATAAATAAATTATTTTCCAAAAAGATGGATTGTAATATTTTCAATTTTAACGAAACAAAAAAAAAAATCAAGATGATTCCATGTTGAAGCTGATCTCACAAAAATATTTTAAAACGGAATATAATGGGTTGTTTAATCCAATATGTTTAAATTTAATATTCATTAGTTCAATGAATATTTTATTTAGCCAAAGAGTTGGAAATCGTAGATATGAGCCATCACGTTTAAATGAGAAAAATATAAAACTCATGGACATCAAAATAAAGTAATATTTCGTTAGTGACATTATTGTCTTTCCGCTTCCTCTGCATTCTTCTCAGAAATAATTTATTATTTTCATTGAATTATGCCTTGTGCATTTGCAACGATAAAAACAATTAATTTTTTTCAAGTGCTCAGATAAGAACATACTTCTATTCAAAAATATTTTTCTCACAGAAAAAGCATTGAATGGTTCAGATTTATCGTACTCACCCTGTCAATTATATTAATACAAAAATATAAGTTGATCTTGCATTCGGTTTTGTCTGCCTGTTTATTAAACCCAAAAAGTCATGTTTCCAAATATTTTATAGTAAGTAACAAATGTTCTTCTAGAGTGATTGGGTGTTTTTACACAGGATCCAAACACTCAAGTCCAAAAAAAGTGACAAATCGGTCTGGATCGACGGATCATGGCCTTCAGTGTTAGCAGCCGCACGCGGATCAATAACTGTTTACCAAATCAGAACACCCAAATATTATTTTCATTTGGGGTGTTATTTGACATCTTGAAAACTAACTATATGTATACATATGTATTACATAATTATTTTTTAATGAAAACAAATTACTAACGCTATAAATATTATACTTATAGGGTACTTACTAGAAGAAAGTACTTACTAGCATTTTCTACTGCGCCCAGGGATGGGTCGGAGGCAGTATGTATCTTGTCCCTGGATACACAGCAGCTCCAAATCATTCCTCCAGAGCAGAGATCCAGAGGCTTCCCTCCTTCAAGGACACAGGAGAGAGATAGTCCACACTCGAACTGCGTGCCGCGGTACCAGCAACTCTGAGGAATCACTGTAACAAGAATGAAAATTTAAAAAGGACTGAAATTATTGTATGCCTGAGTGAAAATGTTATTGTTGTATTTTGTTAGTGTATTAATAATTTATTACACTTGAAACCTATTGTTTTTTAAATCTAAACGTTGGAAAATTTGACAAAAAGAAGCAATAAAGAAATCCGTGTTTAAATAGCCGTTTGAGACTAAGAGAAAATCACTATAATTGTCTCATGAACTAATCAATATTTAAAAATACTAAGGAAAATACACGGGAATTAAACATGCTTGTACACTCTTTATGTAAGCACACTTTTTTTAAGCAGATTTTTTTAACACTTCATTATCTTGCTATGAAATATAATGTTTAATAGGAAAACGATAAAAATAATAAAAATCAAGCTTTAAATTAAAATGAAATTTGCCAGCATCCGTTTGTTCGATTGAACTATGATGAATAATTCAAGGATTGCTATAAGTTATTTTCTTCTTCTTGGTCTGCCCTCTTCAACCGCAGTGCAGTGTGATGTGTCTTATGATACAGTTAGATCCATAAATCCCGGTCCTGTACTATTTGTTTATTCCTTTCCAAACCTCTCCTGTCTAAGACCCCTTTCAATTCTTCATTTCAAGTCTTTCTTGGGTTGTTAACAATTATTCGATGACTTCATAGGCAGCTCTGGTAATGCGATTTTCAGACATTTAAGAGACGCGTCCGAACCACTCTAGGCACTGTTCTTCCAATAATGCCTCCATTGTTCTCATATCGAGATTCTCTCTAATCGTAATGTTCCTCACACGGTCCCGTCTTTCCATCGACCTTCCACCTCATATGAGTTCATGCCTCTGAAGTGTTGGATGTGATTCTTATATTTATTAGTGAGAATCTAAGATTCGCTTGCATAAGTCAATATCCAAAGAACTGTGTTTTATAGACTATTTTCTTGGTATGTTTCGAAATTTCTTTTTTTTTTTTTTTGCAGGAAGTCTTTCATCAGAGAATTGGAGCTTCGTTATTTATCCATCCATACAAGCCATCCATACCCATCCATTAAGCCTTAATACTCAGTTCGCAGGATAGTTTTTCCTTCTAAATCCCATAAATTTGGTTTTCTCTAAACGGATTACCTTATTTATAATCTTTGGCTTTTTAAGGAGGTTAAATTTAAGGAGGTGGTTAAATTGATGATTTCCAGAATGACCACCAAATACGCCCACGCCGTCAGCAAAAGCTGATGTTTTATATATTACTTTGAATAGTCTTCTCAACCTCAGCATAGACGGTCATATTTGAGTTTTTTTTGTGCGATGTCAAGAGTAATTATAAAAACGGTGCGGGCTTAAAATGCAACTTTGCCTGATGCAGATATTGGTTATGGACTCTTTGGAGATGTGGTGACATGTTCTAACGTTGTTTCTATGTTTATTGTATAGTCCCGAGGTGCCCATCACCCCAAGACCCATGGCGCATAATCCTTCTCCCACCTCTCTCAAGATATTTTATTGCTCTCTGCTTTATAACAAACAGTGTAAACGAAATCAGAACTTAAATATTCATAGATTATATACAATTACACATCCTTCAGTCTGTTCCATGTTTACACTTGTTTTTTTATTTGAAAGTTTACATTTGGAAAAATCATAACCTCGTCGAAATGTGCCCCCCTCAAAAATTGAAAACCCCTTCAAAATGTGCCTCTCTCATAAATTTTAATGGCACAACTTGCGGCATGAAACCACTTTTGGACTGCCCCTGATGTATGGTTAGAATAGAAACAAATAATTTCTCAAGTAAAAACAAAATCTAACTTTGATTTCACATTTTAAAAATAATTATTTTTCGGAAGGATAAGGTTTGGGAAAGGAAGAAGTCCGAAGTTCCAGTTTGTGCGCTGCCGGCAGAGTTAGATACGGTTTGTGTAATGGGGACCGAGGCAGCTGAGCGACGGACCCACCTTCTAAAAAATATCGCATTAGGGACTTGTTACGTAGCAAATCGTTCCACCCTGCCGGTTCATCCTCTTTAGAAACTCTTTATGGCTGCAAGACAGGACTAACCGCGTTATATGCCTAGTTCAATGTTCTTTTATTCAAAACCAGTACCAGATTAGTAGTCATTCATAGTTAATAGACAAATAAATAAATCATAGGTTTAATTTTTCTATGACGGAGACAAATTTATCATATCGTATGTGCCTGTGAATCGACAATAGGCAGTAACTCAAATGCCATGACATTATGTATACTACGTGCGTTTTTATGTACGATACTGCTTCATCCATAACCATAATATTAGGTCCTCTCGAGGCTGACAAGTATCTTCAAACAAGATTTTCGTAATAGCAAGGTTCATCAGATTGGGAAAGCAAACATCCTTGTTCTATTCCCAGCAATTAATCAATGATTTTCACTTCATAGCATTTAAATAATAAAAATCATTAATTTTTATATTAAATAAGAAGCCTTTTAAGATCTTAAAAAATTGCTCATCTTAAAATTACTCCTTATAAACGATTTCCGAAAACTAAAATTTATGACGTTGGACTTGGCAGAGTTCATAGTGCGTGGTACAGACCTCTTTTTATCAAATTATTAACATCCGGTTGAAACTTTGTAAATAGCTCCATTTGGTAGTAATTTGTAGATCCTCAAACTTAGATTATTTAATTTGCTACTAAACACTCATGAATACCCATTTGTTTTCCTCTTGAATCATAAGATAATATGATAATATCACAAAGTCGAAAAAAAGGTGGCCTATAAAAATACAATAACAGTTTGGCGTGACATCTGTACCCAAAATGTCAAAATAACGAGGTTATATAGACCAATCGCCCCAATATTTTTGTAAGCCACCTTTTTTACTTTCCTACCTATATTAGGTAAGGAGAATATTACAATCGGGTCAAATTTCCGATATGTGGTTTTCGACGGATCTATACTTACGGATCTACATTTTTAGCTATTGGTCTGTCTGTGCCAAGATTTTCTCGGGAACTACTGAACCGATTTTATTGATTCTTTTTTTATTTTGTAGGGTTTTGACTACTGATGCCTGTGACAGAATTTGGTGCTCCATGCACAATAGCTTGCGCGCAATAAATGAAAAACATGTTTTTCTATAGACTGTAGCGCTAAAACGGCTCTAACGATTTTGACGGAACTTTCCTATAATGTTCTAATAATTGTCCTTTCAATTTTCGTATATTGACTAAATCCCCGAGAAAATTCAGAAAAAAAGTTATAAAGAACAGAAAAAAATTATGGGGCCTAACTCCCTAAGTGTATATTGTACGGTAAAATTTATAATAAAACTTTTGAAAGGGAATTAAATTACCAACAAAACAAAAAATAAAAAAATCATCGGAATGAAACCAGTATTAGCGATGATATAGCGTATTCTATTTTTTACACATGTTCTAACTTATTACTTTCCTACCTATACTAGGTAAGGAAAGTATTGCAATCGGGTCAAATTTCCGATATGCGGTTTTCAACGGATCTATACGTTTCAGAGCCCCCTGAGTCCGAAAAAGACATTTTTAGCCATTGGTCTGTCTGTCTGCCTGAAATTCCCTACAAAACTATATAAAAATCGTTCATTTGGACGACTATTAAGAAAGTTACAGCTATTCAATTTCCAATGTAAGATTAAAGGATCATATCCTGGTGTCAGAAAGGGGTGAATGAGATAAAAAATATGACTAAGTGAAAATAAGAAAATCGTTTGCCCGCATCACACAAGCTACACTATTTCCTCTACTTTTAACAGAGATTATTGTTTGACAAAATTAAGCGATGACAAAAAGTTTCTGATCAGCAATATTAGAGAGTATTGAAATTTTTACACTAATCTACTTTAAGCCGGTTTATATTGCTTTAGTTTATCAAATAAATCGTACTCAAATCTTTTATTGGATCAATTTTCAGGAAAATAAATCTAGTTCAATTTTTTTTTGTTTCTTCATATGTAATGTAACATATGTAAATATATAACAAATTTTCTGAAATAGGTAGGAAAGTCGTGTGAGTGGAAACGCCAGACATTTTTTTTCGACTTTGTGATCATATTATCTTACAAATCTTTTGCTTTACAGGTAAAAAAAAATTAAGTAAAATGAAGTAGATAAGTGAACACTAAAGTAAAATAAAGTAGGTAGAATAATGACAATAACAAGAACTAAGAAATAAATAATAATAACGGTTACAAAGTGTAGACTAATAAAGTAAAAAGAATAAAAATAAGACAGAATAAGTACTAAAATGGTAATCTTAGAAGAAAATGTAAAACAGAGAAAAGAAATATGAAAGAAAAATATATGTGAGAGACATCACTCAGTGTCAATATACTATTTAATTTTTGTTTTTCATAAATATTTCTTTATTGAATAATATTACATTCTGTCATAAGGTGATTAGTAAATAGTGATACTCGAGTTCATATACACTAATTAATTAATTAATTAATTAGCAAATTATCGTTTATGCTCATAATACATAATATAATAAGATTCTCTTTACCAAAATATGGTTTCATCAAATCGGAATGGTGAATTGTAGGGGATTCGATAAAATTGAGAAGATGCTATAAAAAACATATTATATCTGTAAACAGTATCATTAAACATTAAAATAAAATATTCAATGGAGTTAAAGCCATTAGAAATAATGAAGAATGTAATAACATAACAAAAAGGAAACATTTAAGAGAGCAAGGACCCTATGAATCTACGAGTCACCAACACGTGAATCAGAGATTGTATCAATTAATTAATAAAATTCTTATCTGCTATTCATTCATGTCGCGTAATTTTACAGATGTACTCCTTTCCATTCAGAGGAAGCCAATATAGATATTATTTCTCGGTAATCAAATGATTAATACCGTGATCTGCGGTGATTTAAAGATGGCTATTTAGTTGTTATAATTATGTTGTTAATTTTTATAATTATTAGTTTCAGTG